CAGGAAAACATGTTGAAAGTCAGAAGGGCTGAGTGATCCTGGCTATCTCTGTCTGACAACCAAGCCCCTCTTCCCCACCACGTCCCCAAACACACACACGCTAGCCTCGTTATGTATAGTATAAAGTAAGAAAAAAGCAGATGTTAAAACCTCCAGCACTAGTATAAGGAAATATTTTGGCATAAGAATTTGATTAAAAAGTACGTAGTAATTTAAAACTTGCAAGAGTATAATGTTTAGAAAGGGGAGACTAGAACTTTGCCTTTTATACTCTGGCCAAAATCAGGGCAAGTTTAGCTATAGTACTTCTGTTTCGACATGTTGAAACTTTGCTTGTTGGCTTTCAGTATTTGTTCCAGGCAAGGTGTACTCTCCCAGTTGCTGAATCTGCCACTTTTTATGCCAAAGAGATAATCTTGTCTTTAAGTAGTTGACAGTGCCTTTGATCCCTTCATTTGAATTGGGATGTGGATACTCTGTTGCATGAGTGGGATGTATTTTTTTAATCTATTTGTTTAATGAATCAGATAAGCAGCATGCACTTTCCATTATTGAACTGTTTTTATAGTCAGTTTATTGTAACATCCCTCTATTATGGAGTAGAATGGTCTTCCCCATCTTTGGTTTCATTCTGATAATCAGACTTTGTGTAAAATCTTCAAAAGCAGCTAATCGGACAGTTTTAGTGAAATATTCCTTTAGTTTAATGGGGGTATTCATTGAAATGTCTCTAGAGGTACACGAATGCAATTTCAGCAGATGTCCTCTACACGGATATTTCAGTTCCTGTTTTAATGTGCAAGAACATGATTAGCTTTCACTGACAATACAGTAGTGAAGCACTAGTTGTGACTGTACTGTTGAATTTCTTCTCCGTTTTTTAATGTTAGTGAGACAAGTTGTGCATTATACATAAACGTATTCCTTTCATTTATGAAAAGCAATAGATTTTTTTTGGCAGCTATGTTAATACATCACTTAAATGGTTTCCCTAGAAGTGCAGGTTATTGTAAATTGAGTTTAGTTTTGTTTATTAAAAGTGTTTAAGCTGTTTTTGTAACAAAAGCCCTGACCTGTGTTAAAATTAATGGTCTTCTTGGGAATCTGTCTTCTTGCCAATGCTCTGGCAAAACTTCAGAATGGGTAATGCAACTGGCAATTGCATAAACTGTCACTTTTATCCTAGAGTGGTTGCCAAGAGTTTTACCCAATGTGACCATCAGAGTCGGACAGAGAAAAGACACAGTGATAACTTGTGAAATTTTATTTTCTTACGCTCCTACAATTACATTGACTTCATTGAAGCAGAATGGATTTTACAGAAGGCAGAATTTAGCATTCAGTTTTCAATGCCTTTAGAGCTCTTACACTTAAATGTCTCAATTCAGATCACACTGAGCAAAAAAGCTTATCGTCTTCTAGTTTTGGTTTGAAAAAACTAGTACCTGAATAAACAATATTTTGGTTCAAACGCTTTTAATATACACATCTTTATAGCAACATGGCTCTATTTTAGTGTACAGTATCAGCCAACACAGCTGCCCTTAGAACCTCTCAATAATTCAAATCTTAAGTGTTTTGATTTTCCACCATGATCCACTTGTATGAAGTGTGAAACTTACGTAACCACAGTAGGCTCAGTTTTGGGGGGGTGGCAGTTCCATTTTGGTGTCCACACTGTAAACTGAAGGGGGGGAAGAGGAGGAAACTAAAAAACCAGGAAAACAGTTGGCTAAAATTAGAAGTGAAGAACAGTGTCAATGGTGGCTTGACCCACAACACAAATCACTCTCAAAGGTTCATGTAAAGGACAATGTTTATTTTTGTCATCAGAAGAATTTCAGAAATGAAGCTACTTAATCTTCTACAACACTTCCAGGGTGCTCCATTAACGATAAGGGAAAATATGTCACGTGGTCACAAGGTGTTACCTTTAACTAAACCTTTCAAGAAAAGGGTAATAGCGCTTTCCTTGTGCTCTGATTCTAATGGAGAACCCTCAACATATTTTTACTTTCTTCCACTGTACAAGACTCCCATCACATCACCAATAGTAATTTTAAGTGCATTTAAGTTCAAAGAACTTAGTGAATTACTAAAGTTCTTTTATTTGCATTCTAACAATGGTTACATTTCACTTCTTTCTGTGCTCCTAAATGTCCTTTTAAGGACTGCAGTTAACAGCCTTGTCATTCACTTTTTTTAGGCAAGAACAAACATTTCCATTTTAGTTGTAGTTGCCTTGTATGAAAACATTTAAGTTGAAATTCCATTTTTTGCTTTATAATACCAATAAAATGTTAAGTTATTAAACTTAGTGGAAGTCTTCACTGCTATTAGTAGTCTACTTCAAACTTATACAAAAGAGCACAGGAACCAGTCACTCCAGGTGATTTTCATACAAGTTAGCTATAAGTTTATGTAACTTACATTTTCAAAGGAACACATACTTTAAATTTTCATTACAACTTCTAAATATTACTGAGACTGGCACAGTTGTGAAATTTGTGATCTGTTTACTTTGTGCATTTGATGGCATATACCTAGTAAATCAGTTTCACCCCCTCGAAAGATGAAGAAATGCTAGTTATACTGTGTCCTTGAACTAGTATAAATACAAGTTGATAAAATTCCTTTAATTAACCTACCTCCCGAAAGCCTTGGGAAGGAGAAGTCTCAGATTAATTGCCAGTGGATGGGTGTTTACATCAGAAGTGGCACTTATTTACAGTCACAATGGAGACAACTAAATGGAGTTAGAGACTAGATTATCCTCCATTCATTGCAGAGAATCACTCCCGGTCAGGTTATAGGCACCACACTGGAAGGCAATGCAGGGAAGCTTACTTTGCTGTGCCTATTTGTGTCTATCTCCTTGTACAAAACTCATGTCTGCTAATAAACCTCATTAAATGTATTTCAGTGCCCCTCAAAATAAAAGTTTACAATTTCTTTTCTACATGGGCTTTCTTAGTATTCATTAAGCCCCAAACAAGTTCATACTATATCTGTTGTTTACTTATCATCAAGGTTGGCTTTACACTTGAACCTTTTTTCAGCACTTGGGTAACACCGCAGTTTGCCTGCTCTGAAAAGATGACTTAAGTTTCCTATGCTGTCAGGCCAGCACCATTCAGCAGCTGTAAATTAACTAAAAAAAAAAAACCCAACCCCCACCTCCAACCCAAGAAAACCCCAACCCCAACTGCCACACCATCACTATGCATAGGTACAGAAATTCCTACAACAGGTACTGCTGATGTACCATTTTTGTCAGTATTCAAAACCTTAAGGATTAAAAGTTACCTTACTGCTTTTAAGACAGCATCCTACTGTTACCCCTCACCACTACATTCACTTAGAGCTTTTTACATTCTGTGTATTTTTTCATGATCCACAAATCTATTTAAATTATGCAGGTTATCCCACCATTTAAAAAGAAAAGTCTCTGCAATTAATTTGAACCAAGGAGTAATCTTGATTTCATTTTTTGATGCTTTTTCCAAGAGTTGTTTTAGTTCTTCCTGTGTCACATAACAGTAGCTTTTGATCTCATTTGGATCAGGATTCAGTGTTACATTCTTCTGCACAAACAAGATGTAATCAATTTCATGTTCTCCCCAGATCCCATCAGAGCGGGCCTTGTAGTGAATTCGCGTTAGGTAGAAGATTTCTTCTGGAGTTACCTACAACCAAAATCCTTAATTAACTAATCAGAGAGATGGAGATACAGCCAAGATATTAATGAATGTATTTTGGAAGTGGAAAAAACAAAACAGTTATGGATCACCTTTCTGAAGGGACACTGTCAGTTTAAAAACCACTCCAACATATATTTTTGGTCTGGAAAAAAGTTTGAAGCTTATTTCTAATACACAAATAGAGAGAAAAATGCATAATTTTTTTTGTCCAACTTGGTGCACGTGACAGCATGCCTGTTGAGTTGGCTTCACTGTTTCCCTATACAGCAGTATGCTTTCTCGTTTTGTGTGGGTTTTTCTACATGGAAACAGAATAAATATTTTAAAATAGTTAAGTAATTAAAAAAAACCCAACACTGCCATGGGACTCAGGGACAGGCATCCTACTTGTTATTCCTTTTATCTTTCATAATTGAGTAGGTACAGCAGCCCTACCACCCCCCTTGCCAATTTGTATTTTTAAAATCACTGAAATATTGTTGGGTGACTAAGGTTGGTGATTAAATGTCCTTTCCCATGTTAGTAAACATTAGAGGATTTAAACTGAAATGAGGAAGTCTTACTTTGCACCATGTTATTTACTTTTTGCCTTATATTTAGGTTGAAGGAAGAAGTACTCATGAAGGATCCTTTAGTAGGCAGTTAGACAAGACTTTTAGAATCTGTGCCAATTGTCTCACCAATATTTACATCTATCCCTAACCAACTGGACCTACAAGATTAAAAAATTCCTCTTCAGTGTAAGCTTTTGCATACAAGTCATAGCTGGTAGTTATTTTGTGCCAAATTCAAAAGTCTATTTACTGTTCAACAATTTTTCTTCAGGTAAATTATAATCTGTAGCAACACCCTCTATTACCTGTTCCAGGGGAATGCCTAACTCTGCTCTTAATCGCCTCTGTGCTGCTTGCCGAACACCCTGGGCATTATTTTCTTGCAGTTCTAGTGGGGTGCTCAGTGGATGGCTGCAACAAGTGTTGGTAAAACAATCTGTAAAAAGTTGGTGTACAGTCAATGTTCAGAACAGTAATATATGTTGCAGAAATCCAGTAAAGAACTAATGCATCACCAGTCAGCATGTTTTTAAAAAGATGTCTGCAATACCCTTCACCTTAAACCCTGAGCATCTATTCCTGCTCCCTTTGTTTGTATTCGACCAAAAAAACAGATTTCCCCATATCAAATATTTCTAACAGAAGTTAAAATTAACCTGACTTTGCATGTTAGTGCCTTATGTGTGCTGCAGTATCACCTTGGATAACAAATGTTGTCCCCCCTGAGGATCTCATCCACTTTTGCAAGATCAGCAGGCAAAATCCTGTAGACTTTACCTGGAGTGTTTGAAAGTTTGATAAGCAACAGAATCCAAAGGATACTCTCCAGCAGATGGTGCAAATCAGCTCTGAAGAGGCAGGACAAGTGAGTATAAACTGCAAATGCTGCTTGCTTATTTAGGGCTTTCCTATACAAAACTTAGGGCTTGCTTGTCTTCACTACTGGCTGGTCAACGTTGCTGCAATCGATGCAGCAGGTATCGATTTAGCAGGTCTTCTAGTGAAGACCTGCTAAATCGACAGCAACCCACTCTCTGGTCAACTCCTGTACTTCAGCTTCCCGAGAAGACTAAGGTAAATCGACCGGAGAGTGAAAACACCGAGGTAAGTTATTCATGTAGCTAGAATAGCATAACTTAGGTCGACTTATCCCAGTAATGAAGACAAGTCCTTAGCTTGCTGCAAGCTGGGGGGTAAATATACCCCATACTAGCCTGCTGCCGCACACTGAAATTTCCCCAGTGCATTTTAATTTACTCTAGTTTCAAAGTGAGTTAGATCAAGGTGCCCCAGGGTCCATATAGATACTTAATCCATGGCAGGAGTAGAGTCACACCCTAGCTTGCTGCAAACTAAGCAGTTGCATAGACAAGCCCTTAGATTGGTAGAAAAGAGCATCCACCCATGGCATTGAATGTTTTCACATTAATTACAGATATTGGAGCATGGTAAATGCTTCTAGTTTACCAAACCAGTCTAAATAATCATTACAACCCAGGTGCAAAGCACTTAAACACATGCTTAAATCCTACTGACCTGAATGGGATTTAAAGCACATGCCTGAGTGCTTTGACTGAAGCAGCAGTCTCATAATACAATGAGATTTTTCTGGAGCAGACAAGATTTAGACATTTTCAAGTCTAAGATGAGTTTCAGAGTTCTAAATGGAAACAGGCATATTTAGGTTTCTCTGTAAGTTGTCTTGCCTATTGTTTTGACATTAGTAAAGAACTAGACTGTGAGAAAACAGACCAACGCCGAATTTTTTTAGTAAAAAAGGGAAGCACCAGAGAAGGGGGTTGACTTATGAACAGGTATAGAGAGGGAGAGGTGGGAAACAGCCCCTCCCCCCAACAGAGGG